CGAGAGTAGCCCAAATCCTGATGAAAACCATATGACAGGATCCTTAAAAGTAAAATGTTTCTAGAGTCCCACTGGATAGCATCTCTGGAGACAATCCCACAACAAGTTTCACATCTGAGTCAGACACTGAGTTTGGGGAAAGAGTCATTTCTGAAACAAAACCATAAGTGTCAAAATTCTGATACCTCATTTTCACAAACACAAGACTATCACAATAATGGCCTGAATACCGAAGACGGTACCTCTTAGTGCAAAAGGGTTCAAAATATATATTTCAGAAAAATGCTGTTCCATACGTATCCTGACTCATACTAATTGCTTATCTCTAATTTTTCGAAAATGTAGTAGTTGGTTGGTTGGTCTGTTGCTTAACACCACACTCAGCTAGATGGCGCTGGTCTGAGTCTGGACCAGACAATCCAGTGATTAACAGCATGAGCATCAATCTGCTACAATTGGGATACAATGACATGTGTCAACCAAGTCCAGTGAGTCTGACAACCAGATCCCGTTAGTCACTTTTTATGACAAAGCATGATTTGCTGAAGACCGATTCTAACCTGGGTTTTCAAGGGTTCAAAATGGTGGAAACACCCTGTGCTAAGGTCCTCCAAGGACAGAAAACATCTCACCCTTGACCGCCTTTGTGGAATTGCATGGGCACCAATTAGGAACTATTAGGATCAGTTAGTTGTTGTATTACAACTAAAGGACCAAACTGATGAATGCCAGTGTCATCATCTGCAGCACAATCTGAGAGTCTGACTGACTGACTGAGTTTAGTTTTATGCGCTTTTAGCAATATTCCAGCAATATCACGTATGGGGACACTTACAGAATTGGGCTTAACACATTGTGCCCATGTGGGAATCGAACCTGGGTCTTATTGATGAGCCAGCGCTTTAACCACTAGGTTACTTCACGCCCCACAATCTGTGAGATAGTGGTTGGCACAATCAGTATTGGATCTCCAAGAAAGTCTTTGGAATTATAAGGATGTTCCTTCTGTTCTTAGTGAACACCACATAGGTGACTCCACACAGTGACAAGGTAGAGACAGTTGTACTGTGATAAGTCAAGAGTGGGTCCTCACAGTGACAAGGTAGAGACAGTTGTACTGAGATAAGTCAAGAGTGGGTGGTCCACAGTGACAAGGTAGAGACAGTTGTACTGTGATAAGTCAAGAGTGGGTGGCTCACAGTGACAAGGTAGAGACAGTTGTACTGAGATAAGTCAAGAGAGTGGGTGGCTCACAGTGACAAGGTAGAGACAGTTGTACTGTGATAAGTCAAGAGTGGGTGGTCCACAGTGACAAGGTAGAGACAGTTGTACTGTGATAAGTCAAGAGTGGGTGGCTCACAGTGACAAGGTAGAGACAGTTGTACTGTGATAAGTCAAGAGTGGGTGGTTCACAGTGACAAGGTAGAGACAGTTGTACTGAGATAAGTCAAGAGTGGGTGGTTCACAGTGACAAGGTAGAGACAGTTGTACTGTGATAAGTCAAGAGTGGTGGTTCACAGTGACAAGGTAGAGACAGTTGTACTGTGATAGGTCAAGAGTGGGTGGTTCACAGTGACAAAGGTAGAGACAGTTGTACTGTGATAAGTCAAGAGTGGGTCACTCACAGTGACAAGGTAGAGACAGTTGTACTGTGATAAGTCAAGAGTGGGTGACTCACAGTGACAAGGTAGAGACAGTTGTACTGTGATAAGGTCAAGAGTGGGTGGTTCACAGTGACAAGGTAGAGACAGTTGAACTGTGATAAGTCAAGAGTGGGTGGTTCACAGTGACAAGGTAGAGACAGTTGTACTGTGATAAGTCAAGAGTGGGTGACTCACAGTGACAAGGTAGAGACAGTTGTACTAAGATAAGTCAAGAGTGGGTGACTCACAGTGACAAGGTGAGAGACAGTTGTACTGTGATAAGTCAAGAGTGGGTGGTTCACAGTGACAAGGTAGAGACAGTTGTACTGTGACTCAAGTGATAAGTCAATAGAGACAGTTGTGCTGTGATAAGTCAAGTGGGTCACACAGTGACAAGGTAGAGACAGTTGTACTGTGATAAGTCAAGAGTGGGTGGTTCACAGTGACAAGGTAGAGACAGTTGTACTGTGATAAGTCAAGAGTGGGTGGTTC